TGGAAGTTCTGTAACTATCCCGCCTCTAATGCCCAAGGGCCCCGGGGACTAATGCAGCTCCAGTAAGACTCAACGTAAGGCACAGTCATTCCCGCTTTACTATTTCCAAAAGCGCTTTTAGGCATCCAAGTTCCTCTTGTTCTCCATGTAAATTTCACAGCAAGTTTTGCCTTACAAAACATGTTTCTGGGTTTTTATTTTTAATTGAATCACAGTGGGATACAGAGTTACAAAGCTGATCATGGTCAGGTTTCAGTGATACAGTGTTCCAACACCCGTCCCTCCATCAGTGTACATTTCCCGCCACCGGTGTCCCCAGATTCCCTCCTGCCAAGGACCCCTCAGCCTGTAGGCACTCTCCCCCTCTCTTTCCCCCTTTGGAATATTATGGTTGTAGCTGTTAGAAAAATCTCTTTGACTCCACTGTTCTTCCTGCACTAACATACGCCTCAGAGACCTGGGCCCTACGAAATCAGGACGAGAATGCTATTCGGGTCTCCCAAAGAAGAATTGAAAGAATTATGCTTGGAGTATCACGTTTCACTCAAGTGAGAGAAGGAATCCAGAGTTCCGACCTTCATCGACGATCAAGAATCAGGGATGCTGTGTTGTTTGCCAAAGTGTCAAAAATCAAATGGGTTGGACACGTAATTTGAAGACAACCGCTGGACTAGAGCCGTTACCGACTGGATTCACGGTATGTCAAAAGAATGCGTGACCGCCCAAGTACAAGATAGTCAGATTTCTTCGTCAAGACCACAAATGAACGGTTTGAGGCTCTTCGTGTTCCTGGAGTGAGCAGACGCCATTGGGCTACACAGGCAAGTGACAGGGACGAATGGAGACACTACTGGCGCCCACTCGAGCAAATTCATGAGTAACGGGATGTCAAGTGATCAAGTGATAAAAATAAATGTAATATGAGACCAATACCCGAGGACAGTAGAAACAAGGGCCAAGAGGTTGGAAGTTCCTGGGCTTTGATCGTCACTGTCCTGCATGCAGATCAATACCCGAGAAATTAATACCTAGCGGGGCTTCCAGCCCTCCCACAGGACACATCCCTCCATATCCCCCCAGTCTTTGGCCTTGTTCATCCCCATTTTGCAATTTTTAGTATAGCAATGCTGCACATGTTTAGGTTTTCTTCCCCGGGAGCAATTTGTACGTAGTATTGGGTTTGCACTGCAGTTTCTTTTTTTTTTTTATTAATTTTTTTTTATTAGTGAAACACCATGAGGTACAGTTGTAGATTTACAATTTTTTGTGCTTGGGTTTGATTATACAATGATCAGATACCCATCCCTCCACCAGTGCCCATTTTCCACCACCACGGATAATATCCCCCCCATCCCCCCATCCCCCTGCCTCTGTGGCAGGGCAATCCCCTGTGTTCTCTCTCTCCTTTTGGGTGTTGTGGTCTGCAAAAGAGGCATTGAGTGGCAAACATGTTCAGTCCATAGTCTACTTTCGACATGCATCTCCCCTCCTGGGAGGATCCTCCAAACACCCTTTATTTGGTGCTCCCTTCTCTATCTGAGCTGCCCTTTCCCCTAGAATGCCCGGCTGGCCTCTAAGCTATGGAGTAATCCTCCTGGTGCTGACCTCAGCTATTCTTGGGTATTAATCTCATATTTTGTTACTTTATATCCCCCAGATGAATGCAATCTTTCTATGTCTATCCCTTTCTTTCTGACTCATTTCGCTTAGCATGATACTTTCCATGTTGTACCACTTGTATGTAAATTTCATGACTTCATCTTTTCTAACAGCTACATAGTACTCCATTTGCACTGCAGTTTCTAAGCGTTTGTTATTAGTATAGAGAAATATTTGATGTTACCAGTTACTATTATAGAGAAATATTTGATGTTGCATCCTGGAATTTTGGGGAATTCATTGGTTCATTGGTTACTTCCTTAAGTTTTCGGGTAGATTTTTTACATAGACAGACAGCCACACACACGGAGTGGGGGGAGAGAGAGAGAGAGACAGAGAGAGACAGAGAGAGAGAGAGAGAGATATTTCCCCCTCTTATCTATAAGCTTGAATGATGTTCTGGACCCCTAAGGACTGCCTGGAGGGTTTTATTATTTCTTTCTTTTTTTTCCTTTTTTGGGTCACATCTAGTGATGCACAGTTACTCCTGGGCTCATGCACTCAGGAGTTACTCCTGGCGGTGCTCAGGAGACCATATGGAATGCTGGGAATAGAACCCGGGTCGGCCACGTGCAAGGCAAACGCCCTACCCTCTGTACTATTGCTCCAGCCCCCTTTTTATTATTTCTTTTAAAAATTTTTTTGTTTCTGTTTGTGCTATACTGAGTCTGTGCTCAGTGATTACTCCTGGCAGGCTGGGGGACTAGATGGGTTGCTGGGGATGGAACCCGGTTCAGATACATGTGAGGCAAGTGCTCTCCCCACTGTACTATCCCCTCAGCCTGGTGAAGGTTTCTAACACTGATCAGGGGGAGAGGGAAAGTTGCATTTTTTACCATGCATTCCTACAAAACAAACAAACAAAACTGCCACTGCAGATCTCGGGCTCAAGCCTTCATAACACACATGGGAAAAGGAAGGGAGACAGAGCTGTCCCCAGGCAAGCCAGGGAGCAGAGACAGCTCCACCCTGAGCCCCGGGGCTGGCCGCACAGACCCCGCAGGCCATCTGCAAGCCTGAGAAGGTCACTTCCCAAGCCTGCGGGGGCACCAGATGGCCTCGGCATGGTCACCACGACATCATCGCATCCTCTGTGGGACTTGCCAGCTCGCGTGGGCGTGTTTTGTTTTGATCACAGTTGCCTTCTTGAATGGAGTGAGCTGCTGTATGGAAACAGGAGAAATTTGCCTCCTGGCTTCTCTTTGAAAGTAGAAGAGCATTGAACATAAGAAATATTCAGGGCTGGTGGAGGGATGGGCACTTGATCATTGTATAACTGAAATCCAAGCACAAAATTTGTAAGCCTATAACTGTACCTCATGGTGTTTCACTAATAAAAAAAGAAAAAAAAAAGAAATATTCAGGGCCGGAGAGACAGCACAGTGGGGAGGGCTCTGGCCTTGCAGGCGGCCAACCCAGGTTTGTTGCCCGGCATCTCATGGGGTCCTCGGAGCTCTGCCAGGAATGATCCCTGAGCACGGAGTCAGGAGTAAGTCCTGAGCACCTCCGGGTGTGGGCTCCCTGCCCCATCAATCGCTTTGGAAGGTCTCTGGGAAGCCACATGTCTCCCAGAAAACAGCATGGCATGGCGGCTGGCTTGGTGCTGCCCCCCCACCCCCCCCTTCATATGGAACTTTCCTGGGCGTACCTGGGCAGGAGAAGGCGGGTCCAGCACCTGGAGCTGTTTGGTGGAAATCAGAGGCCACGCTCTGGGCTGGCCTGGGGATAAGCAGCCTAGTATTGGCTGGAGCAGTCACAGCTGTCTCGGGGAGAGGTCCCCAAAGGCCAGGAACTGGAGAGGGGCTGAGGGACTCTCAGAAGGGGAGACTCTCTCTCTTCCTTCTCTCCAGTCCTGCAGGTTGCAGAAGGCGCAGGGGCAGTGGGGGGGGTGTCCCCGCTCTGTGGGGTCCCCAGGACAGGGAGCAGGACCCCCTCAGTCCAGCAGGGACATTCATTCTCCTCTTTGGAAGACGCCACTGCTGTCCACTGAGTGGCCACAAGGTGGAGCTGGGCACTGAGGGCCTGGCTGTCCTGGGTACCCCTGGGACCCTGCCCTGCCCCCAACATCCCGGCACACAGACCCCCAACAGTGGGGCCTTCACAGGGTCAGGGCAGGAAGGAGTCCGTCCAGGTCAAAGTGCCAGGAGGGAGTCACTGGTTCAGGGGTCCCAGCTCCCCTCTGCCCGCTAGCCTGATCCCGGGCAGGAAAACCCTTCGGAGCCCAGAGTCCCACTGTCCGCTGCCCACCTCGGGCCCCTCCCCCTGTCCAGGCCGGCTCTCAGGCATGTCCTTTCCACCTCCTCTGCCCGAGCTGCCCATGTCCCTCCTGCTGGCCCTGTTTCATTCCCTCTGGAGCTGAGGCGTCTGTCTCTCCCATTGCTGGCTTCTCAGGTCGTGGTTAGTCTGGGGGTCTCCTAGGTCTATCTGAGCTGCTATCTCATGTGGGACACTCCCAGCTGTATCTGGGACACACTCCTGGCTCTGTGCTCAGGGGTCACTCCTGGTAGGTCCAGGGGCCCCTATGCAGTGCTGGGGTTGGACTGGGCTCTGCCACGTGCCCGGAGAGTGCCTAGTCCCTGTGCCCCCACTCTGGGCCCTTCCCGGGGGTCTCTGTGGCCATTTCCAACATGGATGGGTGTCAGGGGGTGAAGAGTCTTGGGGATCCGGGGGCCCCCAGACTCCGAGTGGCAGGGTCCCCCCCACAGAAGGATCCTGGGGTCCCGGGCAGGAAGTGCAGGCCAGGTGGAGGGGCAGCTGGGGGAGGGGCGGAGCCCCGGCAGGGGCAAGGGAGACGGGGACAGCAGCTGGGGATTCTCGCTGGTTCCCTGTAGTCTCTCCCGCCCTGTGCCCCCTCCCCAGACAGAGTTGCCCCCTTTCCTAACCCGAGAAGCGGGGGCGGATGCAGCAGGAAGTGAGGCGACTCAGGGTGTTCGGGCGCCGGCCTGTTGCAGGTGGAGTCTCCTGTCATCTCCAGGATGGGCCCGGCCCCTTCTGCTCCGGCTTCTGCAGCCTGTCCTGGGGGGCCAGGCAGAGGTTGGGGCCCCACCCTGCAGTCTCATCCCCACCTCCAAAGCACAGAGGCCTCGGGGCCGGCTGGGCCAGTGCCTGCATGAGGCTCGGTTGGACCCGCACTGGGGGCTGGGGGGCCAGTACTCAGCATCGCTCCCGGGAAGAAGGACCATGCGCTGCTGTCAATCTCAGTCTCACCCAATCAGCGCCCGGGACCAGACCGGGCCTCCGGAGTGGTGGGCGGGAGGAGGGGGAAGAGGGAGAAGCCACCCCAGTCTAACTCCTGGAACCCAGGCGGGGACACTCTGGGGGCGCAGGCCAGAGAGGGGGTCTCAGAGTCCCGTCCTGAGCTTCCTGATGCTGCTGTACTCGGTGGCCATCTCAGAGCTCCTGCCGGCTCTGGGGCCCGCGCAGGGGTCCGCATTAGAGCAGATGAACTCCGGGTCACGGGGGCGCAGAGACAGGTGAGCGTAGCAGACCTCTTCCTGGACATGCTGGAGGGACGGATAGTGCTGAGAGGCTTCTGCAGAGCACCCCGAGCCTCTGCCCCCTCTCCTTGCCCTGCCAGGCACCCTCGTCTCTCCCAGGTTCCCGCCACAAGGCTGTCGGGTCCCCATTCCCCACCGCACAAGGGCCCTGTTTGAGTGCGTGGTTCAGTACTGAAATCGGTGGGGTGGGGGGTCTTGGTGTCCATGGCACCCTCTGGGCCCAGCACCTGCCACCTCCCTCGCCTGCCCTCCCAGTCCCACTACTTCCCGCTCTTTCCTGGTCCCCTACCCCGGGCTCCATCTCCGGGCTCTGGGACCAGGAGTGGGAGCTGGGAAGTGGGCAGGTGGGGGCTGGTTGTGACCCCAGGACTCTTACCGGCTCTGGGAGGATCTCAATGGCTGAAAGACAACAATGGAACATTAGAGAAGTGTCCCAGGTGGGGGATGGTCTATGCATTCCCCCATACATGGCCAGGGTGGTCCTGGGGGCCCCCGGCACTGATGGACCCAAATAGTCTTGGCCTGAGTGTCACCAGAAATGGCCCTGGGGCCCTTTCAGCAGGGAAGGAAGGAAGGAAGGATGGAAGGAAGGAAAGACAGAAGGAAGGAAGGAGGGGAGGAAGGAGGAAGGGAGGGAAGGAGGATGGATGGAGGGAGGAGGGAGGAAGGAAGGAGGGAAGGAAGGAAGAAATGAAGGGAAGAACAGAAGGGAAGATTGAAGGAAGAAAGGAAGGAGGGAAGAAAAGAAAGGAAAAGAAGGAAGTGAAGGAAGAACAAAAAGATCAAAGGAAGGAAAGAAAGAGGAGGGAAAGAGGGAAGGAAAGAAGGAAGTGGGAGGAAGGAAGGAGGAAGGAAAGAAGGAAGGAAGGGAAGGAAGGGAAAGAAGGGCAGAAGGAATGAAGAAGGAAGGGGAAGGAAGGAAGGAAGGAAAGGAGGAAGAAAGAAGGAGGGAGGAAGGAAGAGAAATCTGTCCAGTATCCAGAATCCTTGCTGGTTCCTGTTTCATCTGCCCTGAACCCCCCTCCAGCCCCCAGGTTCTCCCGGTTTCAGACAGAAAGGAAGCAGATGACCCCTGCTTTTATCTTTCGAGTCATTGACCTGAGCGTGGAGAGGCCTCAGCTGGAACTTGGGTCAGGGGCAGACTTGGGGAGAAGGTGGGGAGCGAATGGGGACCCTCTGACTCAGGCTCCCGGTGCAGGCCAGGCCCCTGACATGAGGTGCGGTGGGTCACGGGGTGTGCATCTGTACACATACCACTTGCATGCAAACCCTTGCATGCTCTGTGGTCATGTATTTGATCATGCGTAAGGGTGTGGGGCCATACAGAAAGGACGTGGGGGCCAGGCTGGACACTGGGTGTGTCTGGGAGCTGAAGTCCCTCCACAGAGCAGCTGTGCCGGCCCCAGGTGAGAGTGAGTGGGCAGAGGAGCCCCAGCTCCTGCTCCCACCAGTGTGCATGAGGCGTGTGCATGTGTGTGTGTGCATGAGTGTGTGCGTTTGTGTGTGCATATGTGTGTGAGTGTTTGCACACATGTGATTGTGTTCACAGGCTTGTGCACATGTACATGTGTGTGCACATGTATACTTATGTATGATGTATGCAAATGTGTGTGCACATGTCTGTAAGTGCAGTGAGTATGTGCATGTGTGTGTGTGCATATGATTGCCTGTGTGTGCCTATTTTTGCATGTGTGGTGGCATTTGCTTGCATGTATGTACGCACATATGTGTGCACATATTTTTACATGTGTGTGTATGTGCACGTGTGTGCATGTGTGCATGTGTGTGTACTCACTCATGTGATTGCGTGTGTCCTGAGCTCCGTGTCTTCCTGATCCCTCCTTGGCCACCAGCAGCCGACAGGAGGGTGCTGTGGGTACAAGCTGGCACCTGCTAAGGCCGCCTGAGAACCAGGCAGAAACCAGAGGGGAAGTGGGGGGGGGGAGATGGCCCACGTCTCCACGGCCACCTGTGGCTCCACTACCTCACGGGCTGGCCTTAGGGCGGTGCCCCCAGCCCTGGGCAGTCCCTGTCTGATGTCTCTGGCCCCTGCTGCCATCAGACCCACACACCCCACGCCTGCTCTCACCTGTCCTATGTCGCTTCAGCTTTCTCCAAGCAAGGAGGGCGGCCACCAGCAGGAGAAGCGGCAACACAGCAGAGATGATGGACAGGAGCAGGGGGACAGGAAAGCCCCTGGAAACAAGAGCGGACCCCTTGCACTGAGCCCCTGGGGCAGGGCTGTAGCCCCTGGCTGGCTGCAGCGTACACACATGCCGTCAATTCCAGCATATGCTGCCCAGGAGCCCCCACCCAAATATGGTGAAGATGCATTGGGGAGGGGAGGGGAGAAACAAGGGGGGAGAGGGGAAAGGAGATGAGGGGAGAGAAGAGGAGAGGTGAGAAAGGAGGGAAGGGGAAAGGAAAGTTTGGGAGAGGAGGGTAGGGAAGAGGAGGGGAGAGGTGGGGAGGGAAGGGGAGAGAATAGGAGAGGAGAGAGAGGAGGGGAGGGAGGGTGAGGATAGGGGAGAGGAGGGGACTGGAGGGGAGAGGATTGAAAAGGAGGGGTGAGGTGAGGAGGGAAAAAGAGGAGAGAGGAGGAGAAGGAGGAGGAGGGCAAAGAGGACTGAAAGGTGAGAGGGGGAGAGGAGCAAAGACAGGCATAGTGGGTGCCCACGGCAGCTCAGACAGCACGTGACAGACTCCTCCCTGCAGTGCTCCCACCCTTGAAAGAAGTGTCCTCCCCAGTAGCTCAGACCATCGGCACTTCCTGTGGTACCTCAAGGACTCAATGCTACCACCAGGTACAGGTGGAGAGTCCTGGGCTCCCGGTCCTGCACCAGGGGTGGTCCTTGGAGAGGAAACAGGCATGGGGGCAGGAAAGGAGACATGAGGGGGTGGCGGATGAGGGATGTTGGCAGGGACAGAGCTGGGAGCAGGGCCGGAGACACAGTCTCCTGTGGAGCCCAGAGGGTGCCTCCCACTCAACCACGCCTTGGTTTCAGATTTGGTGTTGGTGGGGCTGAAGGGTATGTGGGGGACCCCAGCTGGGTCATGAGTGGAGCCTGAGGGTCCAGAGATAAGTCCTGGGGGTCCCCGTGGAGCAGTGGGCCCAGAGAGATGTGGCAGAGAGTAGAGTATGCGGCCGGCTCACGTGGTGTTGGAGAGGGCCCTGGTCACCCTCGGGGCGTCAGTGGTCTCTTCTGTGGTGGCTTCTGTCGTGGGTGCGTTGGTGGTTGTGGTGGTCGTGGTGGACACAGTGGTGGTGGTCAGAGCTGGGGTTGGAGTTAGACAGAGAGACCAGGTCACAGGCGGCTCCAGCAGCCTGGCCAGCCCGGAGCTGGGCAGAGAGCGCTGAGCCCAGAGAGAGAGCGAGGGCATCTGGGGTGGAGGAGCCCCTGAGCATTGCAGAGAAGCACCTGCCCCACTGCAGTGCCCACAAGGGCATGAGGCCAGGACTCAGCCCCAGGACAGTCACCCCAGAGTGACTGACAAGGACAGGAGAGGAGAAGCCAGGGAGAAGCCAGAACAGGACCTGGGGGACTTGAGACATAGACACGGTCACCTACCTGGCCTGATGGTCACTGTGACCTGGAACGTCTGATCAGATCGTTCAATCCCGCAGTAGTACACGCCTGTATCATCATGCCTGAGTCGCTCCATGGTCACAGTGAACTTGCGCTGACTCTGGTCATCCCTGATGGTCACCCGGGCACTTCTCGCCACCTGCTTTGTTCCAGCAGTTTCTGTACGATTCCAACAGCCTCTCTGGGCTGACCATCGGCACCACCACTTCCGGTGCCTCTCATACCCAGCGTCATACAGACAGGGCACGAACAAGGAGCTTCCAACATGACCGGTAACTTCTCTGGGTCCCCTGAGAGCAGCTGAGCCTGGAAACAAAGGCCTGTCACCTCCTGCACAGGCAGTGCCACTGCTGGGCATGGAGACTCGCCCTATCACTTCCCACCCAGGGACACCCGCCTTCCCCAGACCCTCCCTCTGTTCTCCCCGGGACCCCAAGGACTCCATAAAGGCCTCAGAGACTCAAGACTGTGACCCTGAGTGGTGACGGCCCCTGCCCAGCAGCCCAGACCTGCTGCATATGGGCCGGGAGAGTAGATGTCCAGAGAATGGAGGAGTCATTGTTTCCTATGACACAGCAGGGTTATCCCAGAGCTCTTGGACAAGCTCTTTCTTGCTGTCACTCGCTATGGAACCTGGACCTCATGTCATGGCAAGTGTTCTGCACTGAGTGACCTCACTGGTCTCATACCAATTCTTTTTTTTTTTGGCTTTTTGGGTCACACCCGGCGATGCTCAGGGGTTACTCTTGGCTTTGCACTCAGGAATTACTCCTGGCAGTGTTTGGGGGACCATATGGGATGCTGGGAATCGAACCTGGGTTGGCCATGTGCAAGGAAAATGTTCTATCTGCTGTGCTATTGCTTCAGCCCCTCATACCAATTCTTTACTTGGCCAAATTCCTTGATTTGCTCAATATTTTTATTTTCCCCATGAATATTAGTATTGAAGCCTTTTAGTTGTTGTTGATCCTGGGTCTATTCTACTGCTACTGCCACCCCCACTGTTATCTGTTTTATAGAATATTATTATTATTTGGGGAGATTATTTTGGGGTCCCACTCAACTGCACTCAGGGCTTACTCCTGTCTCTGTGCTCAGGGATCCCTCCTGGCAGGGCTGAGGGAATCATAGGTGGTTCCTATGATTCACCTTCAAGGAACCAGGGGCGAGCAACTTCCTCTTTAGACCTTTTATAGACTATTTTTAGCACAAAAATTTAAAAATATAACTTGAATATTATTTATAATGAAAACTGCTATCTATTGCAATGATACATTTTTACCACTTGTACTGATACTATTTTGATCAAAGATTTCTTTATTTTTAACCTCTTCAGGTATTCAAGCTGTTTTGAAATTCAGTTGGTATTACTATCTAAATTATTATTTTATCTCACATTTAAATTGATTACTTTATTCCTTTAAGAATATCTCCTGGACTGGAGTGATAGTACAACTGGAGGGTGTTGGCCTTGCACACAACAGACTAGGGTTTGATTTCTGGCCTCTCACTGCCAGGAGTAACTCCTGAGTATCACTGGGTGTGACCCATAAAGTCAAGTTAAATTAATAAATAATTTTTAAAAAAGGAAAGAGTAAAGTTGGAGCACAACTGGATGTGGCCATAGAACTAACAAAAAGTAAAAAATAAAAGAGGATTTGTTTATTCCCACTTTTAAAGCTGAGATATCTTTTGCAAAGCACCCAGCACTGCTTACTCCTGTCTCTGTGCTCAGGATTTAGTCCTGGCGGTGCTGGGAACATATGGGGTGACAGGGACCAAACCAGGGTTGGCAGTGCACAAGCAAAGCACCCTACCTGTCGTACTCTTGCTTCAGACCCTGTAACACAGGTATTGTAAGGTTGGCAGGTCTCATGCTAACTTTATTTAACAAGAATTCATTTTTGAATTCAGCTTTTGCTTTTACACACAGGTTTGGATATGCAGTATTTCCTTCCTTCCTTCCTTGCTTCCTTCCTTCCTTCCTTCCTCCCTTTCTTTTTTATTTTTGGGTCACACCTGGCAATGCACAGGGGATACTCCTGGGTCTGTACTCAGGAATTACCCCTGGCAGTGCTCGGGGGGACCATATGAGATGCTGGGAATTGTACCTGAGTTGGTCACGTGCAAGGCAAGTGCCCTACCCACTGGGCTATTGCTCCAGCCCCCCTTTCATCCTTTTCATTCATTCATTTTTTTCTTTTCTTATGTCTTTTCTCATTCCTTTATTGCTATGAGCCAAAAATTAATCCCAGGACTTTACACACTCAAGGCAAGTACTCTATCACTAAGCTACATTTTCAAACCTCTGTGTCTTTATTTAAAAAAAAATACAAGTCTTTATACTTTTCTACAGTCTATATTTTATATTATCAAATTATAGCAGGTTTTAAAGGTATCTCCAAAGTCACTTTGGTTCATTTTTATTTCCCGTGAATAATTTTAAGATGCATTGTTCATTTTGATATTTGTCTCAATATTTTCATTGAATGGCTGGAGTGAAAGCACAGCAGGTAGGGCGTTTGCCTTTCAACGTGGTCAACCCGGGTTTATATTCCCAGCATCCCATATGGTCCCCTTAGCATCACCAGGAGTAATACCTGAGTGCGTGAACCAGGAGTAACCCCTGTGCATTGCCAGGTGTAACCCAAAAAGCAAAAAAAAATTTTTTTTAAAATTGAATTTTACTAGATACAAATATAACATCAGGATATACCGATGGAAAAAAGTGGAAATGCAAAGAACAGAGAAAGTACATGGATGAATAAAATAAGGAATGTTACTTTTTGTCCTGATAAAACGCGAATGATGAAATAATATTAAGATTGGAGTTTCCCATAACCAAAGCCCATGCTAGAGCCCATTGCCTCAACACTGAACCTCACAGAGGCCCCTCCAACCCCTGCCCTCCTCTCCCCCACATATACATGCACAATTTACTTCAACACTGTGGTTACAGAATTGCTTATGAAGATATGTTTTGGGCATTCTATATTCCAACACCAACCCCACCACCACTGGCACCTTCCCTCCACCATTGTCTCCATATTCCCAGCTACCCCTCAAACCTGTTCCACAAAATTTATTTCATATTACTCGCTACCCATAAAGGACTAACAGAAAGATCAAAAAATATTCCCTTTGAGGATAATTAATGAAAATCTTTGTATCTCACCATGTCCTAGTCCGAAGTTCTACTAAATGGTTTTACAGTTAAGCTAAGGTGTTAATGCTTTTGCTGGTTGAGATTCGTTGGGTCCTCACGCCCTTCCATCCCATCTGTGTGCTCCTGCTGGAGTGTCAGTGTTGTAGAATCTGGAGATGTCGTGTGGCCTTGAATGTGGCCTCTCACCCAGAAAACCCAGTTTTTAAATTGTCAGTCCAGCAGGAGTTAAAATTTTTGACTGCTGAGCTCACTGTCTGGCAGGGTGGTCTTAGGCATAGTTGCCGAGACTTCTGTAAGTACAAGGAGGTGTGTGGGGGTAGCCCATCCTGACTGTGAGAAGGCCCAGAGCTCTCAGCTTCAGGGGCCTGAGAACCCGAGACTTCTTCCGGGTGAAGGTCACCTCACAGAGTCTTAACCTGTCCAGATCCTCAGACACACGGGTCCCTGGGGCTGACATCTCAGGCCTTCTCTGAACCTGGATGGGCGACCCCCACTCCCATGTCCTTCCAGAAGCCCCAGCAGCCACACTCACGAGCTCCCTCAGCCGCCATGTTAGTGCAGCTACTGGAGCCACTTCAGCCATTCCCAGCATTCGGCCCTTCCGTCTACCCCACCTGCTCCTGGTGCCCTGTGCAGGCCCCAGGACTGTTCAGCACTTTCCCCACTTACCTTCCTGCATCCCGTCCCTTCCTATAGGGCCCCCAACACCCTCTCCGGACAGAGAGGCGAGAGGAGAGGATGTTGGTCTCTGCACTGTCTCTGATGCTCCCCCGACCCATCCGGGGGTACTCAATGTCCACCTGGCCACCCGCTGAGGGCCAGGAGCTCTACCCTGGGTGGATCCCTGTGGAGACCCTGCAGCTCACTCTTTCTGGTCCATTTCACTTAGACCGTCCCACTCTCCACAAAACTAGACACTCCATGGAAAGGGGGAGGGGCCCATGGGACCCCGGGCAGGGCCCCTTCTCCCAGGCCAGGCCTGACTCACCTGAGAGGCCACAGAGGAGGAGCAGGAGCACGAGCGGCCGCATTCTCTCACTCGGGGCTGGGGTGTGGGTACAGCCTGTGGGACGAAGGAAGCCCCTCACCTTCCCTCCTTCCGCTCTCTCTCTCACTCGTTCGTGCTTCCTCCTTCAACCACTCTCCGCCCCTGAAGTGTCATTGCAGGTGGCTGGGGTGGGGGTGGGGAAGGGGCAAGGCCAGACCAGGACCCACTAATCAGAAATGGCCCTATGGAGCCTTGAAGGCTCCTGGAATGGGACTTGGAGCTTGTCCTGTGGCTGGGGGATTCGCAGACCCTCATTTTGTTCAGTTGTCTCTGCTGGGGCCTGGGGATCCCACCATGGTGGACCCTGACACAGTACCCGACACCTGGGTTCCAGGTGGCCCATGTTTGGTTTTTGTTTTTGTATTTTCTTTGCTTTTGGCCATACCTGGCAGTGCTCAGGCTTATTCCTGGCTCTGAACCCAGGGATCATTCCCTGCAGGCTGCACACACGTGTTGGGATTTGTTGCATGTCTTAGGTGCAAGGGTTTGAGCCCACATTTAGTGTGTGCAGTTGTGTGGGTATGCCTAGTGCTCATGCATGTGTGTGTGTGTGCGTGAGTGTGTGTTTGTGTGTGCCTGTGTAGTCCTGCGCTATGTGTTGTATGTGAGCATGTGTGGGATAGTGTGCACACATGTGTGGGAAGTGTGTTGCCTGTCTTAGGTGCAAGGCTATGAGGATGTGTTTACCATGTGCAGTTGTGTATGTCTAATGTTAATGCATGCATGCGTGTGTGTGTGTGTGTGTGTGTATGTGTGTGTGCCTGTGCGAAGGGCACGAGTCCTCGGGACATGTACCCACTGCCGATGCAGGGAGAACAGCCTGGACCTGGCAGAACAGCCGAAAAGGGGGAGTTCACAGTCATCTCACATGTTCAGCTCAGTCCAAGGGTGCTTATCCCCTGCACCCCACCCTACTCTCGTCTCCTGTAATGGCTGTGACAGGAAGCAAAGGGTTTGATGTTTGCAGGCACGTGTCTGCACCTGTGTGATGCATGTGCATGAGTGAGCATGTGCATTTTGGGTATGCAGGTGAGTGTGTGTGTCAGGGCGTGC